TTTCCTTGTTGCGCGTCGTGGTGATTCTACTAAGTCTTTCTTCCTTTTTAGGTTAGCGATAATTGTCGCATGTGGGGACCAGGCTTACAATCGTGGATGCTGTTCCGCATACAATGGGGAGAAATCGGGTTACACGATCGCTGGTTTTGGGTCACGATCCGCTTGCGATTCCGGTCACGTTTTCGGTCACGTTTTCGACGTTTATTACTCAACGGCTCTAACGGTATTTCCCTCTAACAATATGTACATACTATTGTACGTACAAACAAATTTTTTTGTCCACAAAAAAAGCGTGACAGTGGACAAAAAAAAAAATTCAAATAAAAAAAAGTAACAGAGATCCCTTAAAGTACCCCGCGTAAGTGGGATACTTTAAAGGATCTCTGTTACTTTTTTTTGTCCACGAAATTATTTAGTAACCGAGGATCGCGCTTTAGTATAGGGACAACAACAACGTTGTTTTTGATTCATTTTAAATCAGTTCGCGAATTATTATCTAGTAATTAAGTCTATAATATGTTAACTGCTTATTTTAACTAATGGTAACAGATTTATCTCTTATATAATAGTTAAGTAAGCCTTCCCTTTAAAACGAGCTTTATCATATTGTTGCAAAATTACGCCCGGGCGTTGTTTTTTAAGCGAACAATTTCCAGAAAACTAAAATTAATTTAAATATCTTTGCAAAATCAACTCTTGGTTCTCTGAAAATTGTGTTCTAAATAACGACTCAGGCATTATTTTGCGTCATATTCAAAAAATAATAATAAAAAAGCACGAAAAATAAATTTTTTTTTAAAAAAAATTGAAATCAAATTTCTGGAGAATTTAAAGTCGAACTATTATATGACTGCACCCTCGATTGGTGGTGGTAATGCTGGGACTGTTACTTCTATTTACAAATACACTGAACTTTATAACTAAATTTAAAGTTCGGTTTAGACATAAATTGTGAGTCTATTTAGAATGGGATTAGAATTATAGACATAACATTTTTGAAATAATAATTTAGTAATATGAATATTTAGTACAAGATAACAATATAATTTATTAAAAGTTTATTAAGTCATTAAAAATTATAATATAAATAGATAACTTAAGAACTTTATATAAAATATCTTAGCAAAAATAAAAAAAAATTTGCGATTAGAAGATCAAAAAAGTATAGCAACCACTAAAAGACTATTTTATATATTGTAATGAAACTATTTTCAAAATTACGCAATTAATAAGACAAACTGCGATATAAATTGTAATTTTTTATCTATTAACCATTGATTAAATAAGTTTAAGAAATAGAAATTATAAAATATTTTCTTTAAATAACGAGTTATTCAATCAATTATTACCCAGTATGCACAAGCTTTTTTTTTGGTTGGATCTCGGTTGCCAGGTTCAATTGAAATTTCAATTACGTAGTTGAGTGGAAGTGATGTTACGTTTGATAAATCATATTTTTCGTTAAAGATAAACGTATTTGTTGGACATTTAGTTTTCGCGCAAATATCTACAGCCGGGCCTTCTAATACGAGTGTAGCGAGTTTTGAATCTGTTGTATTAAAAATTTCAAATATGAATAAATCGCCTTCTTCAATATTAGTTTTCGTTGCTGAACCTTTAACTCTGAGATTAGAACCAGCGATTGGAGGCTCAGGGCTAAATGTTACATTACTGATTACTGGGGTATGTGAATCACATGGTGCAAATGCAGTACTTCTTTTATTCAAATGATATGGAAAAGCACAGACCATGGAAACTATGGCCAAAAAAACTAATAACCAAGAAAGTTTTCGAATCATGATTATTATTTTTTTTCAAAAATTAATTAAAATTTTTTGTTCTACAAGAATTTTTGTGTGATTATTAGATTACTTTTTAGTTTTTTCAATTTTTTTGTTTTTGACTTCATAGTAAAGTGAAATTATTGTCTTTTATAAAAAAAAACCAATCACCTGATTTTCATAAATTCGTTCTTTCAAATTATTAACTTGAAAATTGATAAAAATAGTCAAAAGTTTTGTACGAAAAAAAAGGAGTTTACATGATTTTCTCGACAATCATCTTGCAAATTTACCAGATTTATTTGAGCGCCATCAAGATGAAAATCTCAAAGCAAATTAACACATGAATTTTTCATCAATAAACAACTTTAAAAGATTTTAAAATCTCATGATCGAATGGAATAGCGAAAGCAGATACTTACAATGTCGGATTCAGCTAATAATAAGATTTTAATCTTTAAATAATCTTAATAATGATTTTTTTTACTATTTACCAATGTACGTGCATACAAATAAATTTTTGAATTAACTAAGTATACATTATTGGGCAGTAGATGAAAAATAACGGAAATTTTTTTTTTGTCGTAATCTATATCACCCCACGTAGTAGCACATGGGGTGATATAAATTACGACAAAAAAATTTTCTGTTATTTATCGTATGCCCAATAATGGTATTATCCGATGTTTAGATTAGAGATGGAACTTTTTATCTGACCAGTTCGGATAATCCGAATATGATATAATTATTCGGATAAATTTTAACTTCAG